TACAGCTAAATTCAAATAGCCTTTGTCAGAAGGGAAGAGTTAGAATAAATTGATTAGTTTGATTAATTCCTGAACGTAGGTGTGGATTTCTTTTCGTAAAATTACTTAACTGGTTCAGTTCAATTCAATTCAACTCAAATCAGTTTGGTGCAATATTTCTTAAGCTCCCAGTATAAAGTTGACAGACACCACAGATAAAATAATACACTATAATCCCAAATGCCTTGTATTCTAGAGGAAGAAATGACCAACAAGTTATTTTAAGAACTGTGATGGATGCTTCAATAAATACTAGATTATCAGGATGAATTCAAAGGCATTTATCAATTACTGGGACTAATTATAATGATCTCCTGTCAGTAACGGATTACACATTCCCTTTTGTACGTGGTGCCTGGATAACTAACAAATGGGCTATCTGATCACCATGTATTGTAAATATGTTTGCTTAAATAGTGTAACTTAAAATTTGAAAATAATCTATGAATCACAATTTGCAATGTATTGGAAATAATCACCTCAGGCCTTTTCCCTGTGACTGTGACTGAGTAAGGGTAGCCGCTAAAGAAAACGTTCAAAGGTGTTGGCCCTTTGTGAGCAGACTTTGCTAATTTCTAGCGGCATCATTCAAGATGCAGTGAGAGTTCTAATTGTAACAAATAATTTCATTTTATGTTATACATCTTAGTTAAATGATATCCTGTAAGTTATATGTTTACACAAGTCATCTGTAATTTTTTTCTAGGAAAAAAAAGATACTTTTTAAGTGATTTATTTTGAAATAATCAATGATCTGTACCCCTTAACATTAGTTGCTTATAAAATATCAAAATATTTCTACTCTGCAATAGTTGTGGGTCAGAATTAAAATTATGATACAGAATAAAATGTACTTATTTTGTAAGGAACCTCTAAATGCTTAATAGTAGCTTGCGGAGGCATCTAACATTAGATATAAGACCATCCAATACCTCTCTCCAACCTACAAGAAACTTAGTTTATCTTATCAACAAAAAAGATGAAGTTTCAAGAAAATAAATAAATTCTCATCACACATGATTTTTGTCAAACATGGGCTGGCCTCATGGTGTCCATTGTTGATGACTCTTAAGCCTAATTATATTCTGAGCTCATTCATATACTTATAAATTAATTTAATCATTCTGGAAGTTTTTACTCAGCATGTGTTTTTCCAGTAACCATGATGTTTAATCACTAGTTATGTCAAAAAAAAGAGAAAATCCTCTACCTGCTGAGAGATACACTTCAGCCCCTATCTTGGTAGAGCAAAGATATTGTTCATCAAAATGCTTTTGTTCTATTTGCTTG